TTGTGACTGTTCAGGCAACAATCGATGTTTCGGCTTACAGCAATCCAAAGGAGCTAGAAAGTTTGGGTCTTGATAGGCTAAAAGCCGCTTTAATGGCGCTGGGACTGAAATGTGGAGGGTATGGTTCCTCACTAATTCTCAAATAATGTCTACATTGGACCTCTAATTTCAGCACATTAAAAGAAAGGGCAGAACGATTGTTTGCATCAAAAGGTGTTGGAGCTGGAGAGTTGGGTAGAGATGCCCTGGCGAAGAAGGCTGACGATGCAAAAGAGCATGCGAGAATTTCAGCTTTGGCAAAACTCGAAGGACATATAAGATGGTAAGTTTCATTTGAGCAGCGTCCTTCGAGATTTTCGAGTTTAGGGAAAATAAACTTTTATTCTAATAATGAGAATAGTTTAATTGATTTCTGGATGGTTTCCGCTGCAGCAGGCTTATTTCTCAAAAAATGGAATTTTAGAGTATATATCCAAAATACTAGAATTATCTTCTTGCAGTATTGGCAGCGTTTTGGGCGAAGAGCGAGATGCAACTCGTGAAAATGTTGAGAGAAAACAAGCAAGAGCTGCTGGAGAAAATGAGGATGACGAAGAGGAGCCGCAGGCAACTGTTTAAAATAGTTTCAACTTTTCAGTGAATTTAATTCTGTCATTCAGGTAGAGAGCGACGAGGAGGAAGATGATGGAGTCCCATACAATCCCAAGAATCTTCCTCTGGGGTATGTTTCGATTAGTAATCGGATTTTATAGCGCTTTTAAAGTCAAATTTACAACATGCAGTTTCAGAAAGTTCCATTTTGGTAACAGCTCTCTTAGAACAAATCTTTGAATACGAGTCTTTGCCATTTCCTTCAATTTATAGGCAGTTTTGCGTATCACCTCTTCCATTTCCCGCTTCATTGAGATGATTCTTGCTTCTGAGCGTTTAATTTATTAGGTATCATAAGTTAATGTGCAATAGCAAAACTCCGCGGATTCCGCAGTTCTGTCGCCAAGTGAGTTGTACTTTTTGAAAGGCAAGAATCCATAGATCTCGGAGAAAATTTGTGTTTATCGAACATTTCTTAGGGCGTATCTCAGAATCAAAAAAATAATACTATACACGAGCAATATTTTTTCAAAGCCTGTGTATCGTAGTTGCAGGACAAACTCTGGTTTATTTGCTTCATATATTTTCCCCAACATGCCTCGCATCTTGGACCTTTTCCTAACAATAGGACATAGGAAATAAATGAAAAACAAAAACGAAAACACTCACTTCAGCCAAACGCTCAAAGCACGGTACTTTGTAGATCTCTGTATTTATCTGTTGAACAAAATCAACTGAAAGCATACAGATCAGAGACAGTTTTTCTTTCCCGAAGCTACCTCCTTCCCAGCATTTTAGATGTCCGCAAGACATATCGACTTTTGAGGGAAGGCAAAAATTTAACCCACCCCCCTGTCTCCTTATGGTAAGAATATTTTGTACAATTTACTCACAGACTGGACACACTACGTCTTACCACCTGTACAAATCTGTTTTAGATGGGACGGAAAGCCTATTCCATACTGGCTGTACAAATTACATGGGCTTAACATCTCATATTCTTGCGAGATCTGTGGAAACCAGATTTATAAGGGACCCAAAGCATTCCAGAAGCACTTTAATGTAGGTCTTTTTGTGAGACTAATTTATCACCATATGATTTGTAACAAAAAATGTGGATATTGATCTATTCTAGGAGTGGCGGCATTCACATGGTATGCGATGTCTTGGAATTCCAAACACTGCCCATTTTGCTAATATCACACATATTAAGGACGCTTTGGATTTATGGAATAAAATCAAAGGAGAAAAGGTATCGCAATTTTTTTCTCTGTCACAGAATAGGTTTAGATCAAAGAAGTCATTTTGCAGTGGTGTAGTTAAAAATAAACAAAGATTTTTACTTCCTTGAGCACAAAAGTTGATGAAAAAGAAAGCTATATTAAATTTATAGGAAAGGCAAAGGTGGAACCCGGATTTAGACGAAGAATTCGAAGATTCCGCAGGCAATGTTGTAACTAGAAAGATGTACGAAGATCTCAAAAGACAAGGACTTCTGTAAAAACTTATTGCATTTGATTGCCTCGATTTCACAGTATGTTTCCTCCTCACAGTGTTGTTAAACTTATTATTCATCTATCTCTTTTATTTATCAATGCATATTCTTCTGTTAATGTTTTTT